CACACACACACACACACACACACACACACACACACACACACACACACAAGCCAGGCATTGATGGCACACACCTGTAACCCCAGTACTTGGGAGGGAGAGGCAGGACAATCAAGTCTATCCAGGATCAAATATTCAAGTCCACCCAGGCTTGGCTACATAGAAAGTTTGAGACCAGCTTGAACTACCAGTGACCCTGTGCCCAAACAGAAAGCACAAAAGAGAGGTGAGGGAAAGGAAAGAGAGAGGAAGAGGGAAAGGAAGGGAAGGAACTACTGCAGGAATGATAAAAATTTACTACAGGATGACAGGTCTTTGGGGACTTTGGGAACAAGTGTATGATGTGTTTGTTTTATTTTTTAGAGCTGAAGTAGCATTGATTATGTCCTAACTCAGTTAACACCAGCTCTCTGCTCAGACTCCCCCCGTGAAGAGCTTGAATTAGAAGTTGTTCAAGTTTGTATGAAAATAAGCTCAGAGCCTTGGCAGCTCTGCATCTTTCCTGATTGCCAAGGGATGTCAGACTGGGATGAGATGAGCTATTAATGCCTCTATGAACCTGTAAGCCACAAATATTTGCTTCCTATATAGAAAGGGTTTTAGTGCTGTGAACAGACACCATGACCAAGGCAACTCTTATAAGGATAACATTTAACTGACTAGCTTACAGGTTCAGAGATTCAGTCCATTATCATCAAGGCAGGAGGATGGCAGCATCCAGGTAGGCATGGTGCAGGAGGAGCTGAGAGCTCTACATCTTCATCTGAAGGCTGCTAGGAGAAGACTGGCTTCCAAGCAGCTAGGATGAGGGTTTTAAGCCCACACCCACAGTGACATACCTACTCCAACAAGGTTACACCTCCTAATAGTGCCACTCCCTGGCCAAGCATATACAAACCATCACACTTCCCCATCACCTAGTTGACAAAGTCTGAGCTATACTTTACTGGGGTCTGAAATGTTTCTTGGAACTCATGGTGTAGACCAGGCTGCCCTCGAACTCAAAGAGATGCACCTGCCTCTGCCTCCTGAGTGTAAAATTAAAGGTATATGCCACCACTGCTGGCTCCTTGTAAGCTTTTAAGTTTGACTTTCATTTTTGTGTAGGGGAGGGGGGCACAAAGAACGAGCTACAAAATTCTTCCAGAATCCTTGTGGTCTGACCTTTCCTCCTTTGGAGGATACGTCTGGTGATCACAGTTAGCATAGAGGACTGAGCAAGCTTATAGACTAGTGCATGCCTGCGTGCGTGCGTGTATATTACTGTACTGGGAGTTCTAGGATCTCTCTTTTTTTTTGTTTTTTGTTTTTTCAAGACAGGGTTTCCCTGTGTAGCCCTGGCTGTCCTGGAACTCACTCTGTAGACCAGGCTGGCCTCGAACTCAGAAATCCGCCTGCCTCTGCCTCCCAAGTGCTGGGATTAAAGGCATGCGCCACCACCGCCCGGCCAAATTCTAGGATCTCATATGTGCTAGGTAAACACTCTACCACTGAGCTAATGTTTCCAGCCTCTTTATTTTATTTCTATTTTAAAATTTTTTATGTCTGTCTGTCTGTCTGTCTGTCTGTCTGCCTACATACCTGTCTATCTCCCTGTTTTCCTCTCTCCATGTGTGTTTCAGGAATTAGTTCCTCTCTTTTCACATGTGGGTTCCAGGAATCAAATTCAAGTTGTCAGGTGTGGCAGCAGGTAGATTTACCAGCTGACTCATCTTGCCAGCCCTACTTTTCTACTTTGAAACAAGATCTTACTAAGTCTGCATTGGCCTCGAACTTGAAAGCCTCCTGTCTCGGCCTCCCAAGCAGCTGAGATTACAGATCTGTGTACTATGCCCAGCCTGAACAGACTTGTTAATATTCCTTACATGAAAACCACAATTCTTACAGCAAAACCCTTAGAAGGCATAGGAGAAATTAAGTCTCCAGATGGTCTAGCTAGGTTACTCTTTCTAACTTAATTCAAACATGTTACATGTCTCAAGGCCATGGGGTAGTCCTTGAAAGAAAAGAGTATGTTTGTCATTAACATTGAGTTTGTTGAGTTGTGTGCTATATACTTCTGTGCCAAACTACAAAGTGATAATACACAGGTTGCCTCCCAAGATCATATTTTACTACACAGAAATTAAGAGTTTAATTTCCCACTGTTAACTCAGGGAAATAACTGAAATGTAGTTTTGTGCCAGAGGACATAAGGAGCAAGAATGTGACACAAAGCCTGTGCCTTCAAAGATATAAACTCTTATTTTCAGGACTGGATTTAAATTTAGAGTTATTCATGGCTGAAAAGAACTTGACATTACCTTAGCTATTTCATCATTTTCATCCTGAGAAAACAGAAGTAGTGGGACTAAGCTTTCCAGGACTCGATCTTCCACGCTCTTCTTTTCTGTGTGTTTCACAGCCTTTATGGAGGCTCCAAAAAGAATCATGGAGAAACGGTGAACATCGTGTCTCACCTAAGATGGAGGGTTCACAAGGAAACAGCTCACTGATCTTGCTCATACTAGCTTATCAGAATCCCAAGGAGTCTGTACATCAATCTTAACATGAAATGATCTAACTGCATGCAGTTGAGGGCAAGAAATGAACTACAGAGGGAGACAGCAAGACCTGTGTTTGGTACCCTTGTTCTCTGAACTCTATGAGCAAGAAATGGAGTCATTCTGCCTGTGCTTGAAAAAGCTTGTACCCAATACTGCTATTTCACATAAGCTCTACTGCTGACATTCAAAGCCCTAACTTTAGCATATCCTGAGGATATCTGTCATTGTGTTCTATGTTCTTCGTTTAAAAAAATCTTTGTGATCTGAGACAAGGATGTAAGTATAATCCATCATTTTGACCCATTTCTTTACTCCCTTCCTCCCTCCTTTCCTTCCTTCCATCTTTCCTTCTTTTCCTTTTTCTCTTTTCCTCTTCCTCTTCTTTCTCTTCCTCCTCTTCCTCCTCCTCCTTTTCCTCCTCTTGTTCCATGTCCTATACAAAACAAATTCTTTCCCCTCCTACAAAGCATGGTCTTGGTAAGTCTCTCAAGATTTTTGTTGTTTGTTTTTTAAGACAGGGTTTCTCTGTGTAGCCCTGTATGTCCTGGACCAGGATGTCCTAGAAATCAGAGATTCCTCTACCTCTGCCTCTCAAGGACTAGGATTAAAGGTGTGTGCCACCACCACCAGGCTATGTCTTAAGATTTTTTAAGTCTGAAGAACAAAAAACATCAGTCCAGAAAAACAGAACATCACAGGTTATCTGATAGGGGCCTGAGCATGAAAATCTCAATGGCCTCTAAAAATAAAAAATTCTATCCTATACGTAAAATAAAATGGCCTCAATACTGTCTCAATATCTACTTGCTAGTAGATACCCACCCTCTAGGGAAGAATTTTTTCTTTCATTGTCTTACATCACCAAATAAGGAAAGCAGAGTCTTCATCATAATAGCCAAGGTGGTGGAGTCCAACATCGTGACAAGCTGTAGGAGTATCTGGATGGCCAACAAAATGATCCTTTCATCGGTCTCATGTAGGCTATTTAAGATGCATGGTAGCAGGTTTTTGATGTCTTCTCTCTGTGTCCAAAAACAGCCATGACCTCCTGTCCTGGGAGCACACTTTCTAATTCTTAATGGAGGGGTCCCACCTGACTCCTTAAGTAACTCTGGCTAGTCAGGACAGAGAAGTGGTAAAGAGGTAGTCAAGCCTTCTCATTATTATGGTCACACCTGATACATAGAGGAGGGGGAGGAGCTGTTGGGAAGTGCTTGGCAGAGCAGAGGTGGGACTGGGTCCAGGAGTGCCAGGGATACACCCTTGACTTTACTTTAAGGACAAGCTCTCCCAACACAAAAGACATGGAATGGCCAGCTCTGGACACAGTGAGTTCTCCAGCCTGAAGGTATTCAGACAAGCTTGATACCCCCTTGATGGGAATTCAACACTATTTGACTGAAGATCTTTAAACATCCTTCCCATCTTTGTTCCTACAAGGAAGCAGTCTCCAGATTTTAAAAATATGTAAGTCTGTGTATATATATTTAAATAAGTAGAATAATCAAATCTTCATGCATACAACCAACCAGAGTTAGCATATACTAGCGTTTGTCATTTATGTTCCATATATGCATGTATATTTTTTTATAAAATAAATATATCTCAAGTGACCAAAAGCCTCAGGGTTACTGCTGACTGAACTTTCTGTTTTTTCAGACAGTTTCTCTGTGTAGCCTGGGCTGTCCTGGAACTCACTCTCTTAGACCAGGCTGGCCTTGAACTCACTGAGATCCTGAGTACTAGGACTAATGGTGTGTGCAGCCACTGCCAGGCTGAGGCATAGTTTCCTAATGAGTCATGTGGAAAATAAGCTTTCTTTCATCATGAGTGACAGTTAGCTCTGTCTTAGATGATAAATATCCTGGGAGTATCCAAGAATGTCACAGGGCAACATGGTGGATGGCATCACTGGGCATCTGGATGTTTTATACTGTGTTCTAATAACAAGCATACCTCTCCCCCCAAAAAATTCAAGTTTCAAAGCATTATGAATATTTGGACTTTTAAAATTATTCAATTTTTAATAGTACCCACTTAACTTCTCGGTATAAAGTGAGAACAGTACAAGTGGATATACAGTGTAAAGAGTCCACCACATTCAACCCTGTTCAACATTCCCTATGCTCCTCCTCCCTGAGCCTCTTGGGTATATTCAGGGTTGTTCTATTATTAGCTAGGAAAGCAGTGTCTGAGGGCCTTTTACCATCTCCCGGTGTCTGATAAGATTGCACAGTCCCCTCAGTCCGAGGATCCTGAAGAGCTTACTCTCTTCATTCAGCCAGGTTTTCAGGCGGACAGTAGAGTATAACCTGGGCAGTCTCCTGGCCAGCGGACTCTTAAGGAGCTGAAAGAACCCAAAAATCAGCCAAGAAATTACCTTGAAGTTCTTTTTCCCTGGAGGGAGCTACCTTCCCAACAACTCTACATTCCTTTGAAATCATCAAGTGGCTGCACAGAGTGAGGCTGGGGCAGGAACAAAAAGACTGTGCCAATGGTGAGAGCAAAGAATCTCCAAAGGAGTGAATGGAAATAACATATCTACTGCAAACCTAGAGTGGACCCCAGCCTGACCCTCATGGATACAGCTTAGAAAAGAGGTTCCTTTGCTTTCTAGGCTTCCTGAATCCAGTACCCACAGGGCCCTTACCTCCACAAAAAAGCCTGCAGATGTGAGTTTATGTTTGTCATTCCCTCGGTTAATCAAAGGGACCAGCAAGTACATGATCTTAGATGCAAAGAGGCGACTTCTTTCCATCAGGGCACTGTAAAACACATCAACAGAAAACTCTCAGAGATGTTTCCATGCAGATGGGCTTTCCCAGGGCCGGGCCCTCCAAAGATTTTCTGTTGCTTCAAGTATTCAAGAGGGCATGACAGGGGCAAGACTTTTGACATTTTTTCCTGGTTAATTTACAGATATTATAGCTAAGCATGATGGTGCACACCTTTAATCCCAGTACCTGGGAGACAGAGGCAGGAGGGTCACTATGAGTTTGAGGTTAGTCTGGTGTACAGAGAGAGTTCCAGACCAGAAACATAGTGAAACCTTGAATCAAAAAATTACAGATATTAGGCCAGGGTATGATGGGGCATGTGCCTTTAATCCCAGCACCTGGGAGTCAGAGACAGGAGGGTCTCTGAGTTCGAGTCTAGCCTGGTCTACAAAGGGAGTTTCAGGACAGCCAGGACTGTTACACAGAGAAAACCTGTCTCAGAAAAAAAAATGGGAGAGAGAAAAAGGAAAAAATACAAATATTATATACTCTGCTATGGTTTTAGTTACTGTGTTTTTTTTTTTTTAAAGAAAAAGATAAAACAGTGCTGCTTAGAGGAGGGGATGAATGTGTTAGAAAAGGAATTCTCACTTTGCAAGGAGAAACACTCCCTGAAGATGGCCTTCTCCCTTCAGAAGGGTCCATCCACCGTTCTTTTCCATGATGCTGAATTCCTGCCAGCACAGTGTTCTGAGGAGGAGAGTCTTTGTAGCTTGTATGGCGAAGCTAAGTTGGGCAAACACAAGTATAGGTAGAGACAATAGCCCTGCTGCTGCTCAATGGGACGAGCCAATGGTTGGCCTGCTACTCAACAAGACGGCCAGTGACTACACTGGAACCCAGTCCTTTCCAGAGTTCTTAAAGATGCTTCATGTTCTAATAACTGGAAAGGCCCTCTACATAAATTCTCAGCCTAAAGAAATTTAGCCTGATTTTGTTTCTCAAGGAGATCTATAATTTAGGAACTTATTTGGGGGTACTAAATGAATATCCATTGCATTTTTAAAAAATATTTATTTATTATTTTTATTTTGTGTGTGAGTTGCCCTGCATTTCTATGTATCACATGCATGCAGTACCCACGTAGGCCAGAAGACAGTGTTAGATCCCCTAGAACTAGAGTCACAGACAGATGCAAGCCGTCATGTAGGTGCTGGAAACTGAACCTGGGTCCTCTGCAAGGGCAGCCAGTGGCCTTAACCCTTAAACCATCCAGGGTGCTTGCCTTGAGGATTGTAGACCTATGCTCACTCACAGTTGGGACCACATCTATCCTTGAGACTACTACAGTGCCCAGGACTCAGTAAGCTTTCAGATCAACGAAATCACAACCAGCAATACCACAAAGGTGTAACCTCCGTTGGTATTTCCTGCTCTGCATACAGGCCACTTGGGATGCTGACATCAGACATGGTGAGGCCGATGCTGTGGTGAATCTGGATGAGCAGTGTCATCAAAAGCTGAGGAAAGAGTCGGAATGCAGCTGCTCGAAGTTTGTTTCCCATAAGCACCTCATAAAGGGCATCTGTTACCTGTGGCAGAAAAGGCACAGGGGAGAACTGAGTGCCTGGTGGTCCTAACCCCCTGCATCACCATCCACTTACAGAGCAGCAGTGGTAACTGGTAGAGGGAATCAGGATCCTTAGGTGACAAATAATAACTCAGAAAAGGATCCATTGTTAATAAAATGCTCTCATTCTTCCGTAAGACAAATGCAAAGTCTTGCTGATAAAGGTATGGCCAGTGCAACATTGTTTCACCTGCCAGCTGGCTGGAAAGGAGACTCTCAAGTCCCACCCACGTCTCCTGTATCACAGTCTGCATTGTCTGTCTGCAACGCACATATATTTGCTCTAACTTCTAAAACTTCACTAATATAACATTTCAGAATTCTTTTTTTTTGTTTGTTTGTTTTTTGTTTTTCGAGACAGGGTTTCTCTGTGTAGTCCTGGCTGTCCTGGAACTCACTCTGGAGACCAGGCTGTCCTCGAACTCAGAAATCCGCCTGCCTCTGCCTCCCAAGTGCTGGGATTAAAGGCGTGCGCCACCACCGCCCGGCATTTCAGAATTCTTGAAAGGCATAAATTCATAAGAAAAGAGAGAAACAGAGTAGACAATAGCAAATTAGAAGTGCTGGAAGAAATCTGGAAGCTTAAAATACTATGGCAATAACCTGGACTAGACAAAGGGGAGCCGAAAAGTAGTAGGGAAGAGACTGGTGAGAAGCACAGCCTGCGGGGGGGGGGGGGGCGGGCCCCAGGGGGGAGCGGAATCCCAGCACTTGGAAAGCCAAAGCAGGAGGTCCGAAGTCACCCTTCTTTATTTCGAGGAACATTTCGAGGCCAGTCGGAGCTATTTGAGAAGCTGCTTTAAACAAAACAAAACAAAACAAAAAACCCAAAACCATATATACTGATAGAAAGCAGTTACTGTGTGCACAGAGGCCAGAAGTTTTCAGCAACCCTCTGGACTTTCTGTATAGTTTTGCTGTGAACATAAGACTGCTCTAAAAAGTATCGTTCTAAAAGGAAGACTGGGTGGAGAAACATCAAATATACACATGCACAGGTATTTCTAGAAACTTCATTAGTGAGATAGAACAGTTGTGAGCTAAGAAATTTATTCTATGTATCAGTGTTAAGTTTTGTTGGTTTTCCTTTTGGAAAAAAAATCAAATGTTGCCCAGATTAGGTGACAGAGACTGTACATGACCTGTGAGCCCTAAAAAAAAATGTATTGCCTACAAGGCCTGAAACATCCTTTTTGATAGACAGCTTTACGACTGCTAATTAAAAAGGCCACTGTTAGGTGGGCGGTGGTGGCGCACGCCTTTAATCCCAGCACTTGAGAGGCAGAGGCAGGAGGATTTCTGAGTTTGAGGCCAGCCTGGTCTACAGAGTGAGTTCTAGGACAGCCAGGGCTATACAGAGAAACCCTGTCTCGAAAAACCAAAAAAAAAAAAAAAAAAAAAAAAAGCCATTGTTTTCTAGTCTATGTATTATTACATTAAAACATTTTTTTCTTCATAAGTTTAGATTATGTTAGGTAATTTTTAAAGGATAAAAGTAGGAATGTTCACACTGTATTATACCCTGCCATACTCCAGCTCCCTCCAGGCCAGAGCCAATGCAGAGATACACACAGCTTTACAGATGAGTGTTAGAAAGACAGTGAAAATATCACCCATTTGATAGAGTCAGTCATCCTCAAAGGGGAGCATCCTGTGCTGACATGATAGGGCAGAGAAACGCTTACAGCGACAGCCACATAGGCCATCTTCTCCTGAGTGGGTCCCTCATGGCATTTCTGCAGCTTCCTCAGGAGCCTCCATAGGACCCAGGTCGTGTTGGACAGCTCTATCTCCAGAGTTCTCCACAATTCAGCCAAATGCCTACAAATCCCAGAATAGCAAACATCACAAAAAGGCCTTCCCAGGCCTCCCATGACCACAACTTTCTTAGGTTCCATTTGGAATCCAGCCTCTCTGTGAGAGGTTTTCCTCTGCTCAGTTCTTCAGGTATCAGTAGACTTAGCACCTGGCAGCGAGTCCGGAACTGAGCTCTTACTGGCCCACAGCCAGTCATAACTGAGTCCTATGCAAGCTTACCAGTGTCTCTGCTTCCCATCACATGGGTTTGCTCCAGCTACCTCTCACCATTCACCTTGGCTGGAGAAACGAGGGACTTTGGTCACCCTGGACAGTCCACACCATTTTCTGAAGCCAGAGGCCTTTTCTCCAGCTCTCCCACGACTGTCACTTCCCTTAAAGAGAAGCCCCAGTGGGGTCTCTTCTGTCAGGCTTCCTGCTGCTTCTCCATGCTTCCCACCAGTTCCTACAATGCTTAAATTTTTCTTGTTACAGGTTTCCTCAGTATGCCACACACTGGTTAGTGCTTTGCGTGTGCTCCTCTGAAGGCAGGGGTCATGTCTGGATCCCTCAGAACCTTCACAGAAGGCATTCAAAGACACACCTATTCCATCCAGTCTGTGGTCCTCGTATGTGAAAAACATCAGCTCCGAATAAACAAACAAATAAATAAACCTCTGAGCCTACTTAGATTTCAAAGGAACGTGTAATTTCTCAAAAATTTTTTACAAATTTAACATCACAGCTAAGGGCAGCCTGAGAAAAATATTGGGACTTAGTCTCAAAATGAAACTGTCTAATAGCAATCTCAATGTAGGGCCTGAGAGTCAGATAAACACTGTGAAGCAATGTGACCCAAGGTCTTATACGGTGCTGGGGTCATACTGCTGTTGCTTCTCTCTCTCTCTCTCTCTCTCTCTCTCTCTCTCTCTCTCTCTCTCCCCCCCCTCCCCCTCCCCCTCCCCCTCTCTTGTTTCTCTTTCTTCACAACTAACATTTTGAAGAATCCAGTCCATTGTCCTTTAGAATACCCTCCTTAGGTGCCAGTCTTATCCACTCCCCTCTACAGGCGTCTCATTAGCAACCATGTTTTGCTGTACTTGGAAATGGGTTGTGGACCCAGTAACACAGAAGCTGAGCAAGGTTCTGTTACCTGTCATACGGGACTGGATGACATAAAAGGTGGCTGAGTACTGTATCTGTGTACTTAGGTCTGGAGACAAACAAACTCACGGTATTTATGATTTGTTGCCGGACACTGGTCAGGGTGATTATTGACAGCCGGGCACAGATCACGCCTATTATTTCTGGCACCTGAAGAGGAAAAAGACATCATTAAGACCTTAATCCTGCAGGACAATTATAGATTTTTTTGTAGCCTCTTCTGAAAGGTGAGGGGATAGAAGACAAAATATTTCTGAATTTGTAAAGTTTAGAACGCTAAAGGTTCAGTTTGCTACTAAAGCACTTGCCTAGTTGTGGTGTTGAGCACTGAACCCAGGATTTTGTGCATGGCCCAGTGCCCCTTCATATTCACTCTTAAGAAAACTGTGAGCAGTACAAAATGCCAGGCATTCCTCAAGTCTCACTCTCTTCCTCGGAAATAACTACACTTACACATTTAGCTCTTTCTGTATCTTTCTATGTCAATCCATTAAATGTTTTTTTAAGCAAAGTTTTGCTTAGTAGCCTGGCCTGGCAAGGAATCCACTATGTAACTCAAGCCAGCCATACCCTCTGATCTTGTCTCATCTTTCCAAGTACAGGGATTATAGGTGCACAACACCACACCCATGACTGTCCTTTTTACTAAAAAGAATTATTGTTGTGCTTATGTAAGGGCTGCTCACATGCCATGGCGTGTATATATGGAGTCAGAGGACAGTACTGTCCTCTTTTTCCACCAGGATATCTGGGGATTGAACTCAGGTCATCAAGCTTGGGCAGCAATCCCTGTCTTGTAGAGCCATCTCACTGGGCCTGGCTCTGTCCTTTTGTATTTTAGATGATAAATTAAATTATTTCTTTCCCTTGTTGTTTCTTGAAGTGTGAGCTTTAACTATATCTAGGTAGGTTCTCTTGTTGCTGGAAAAAGCTGATCTCCTTTCAGAGCCACTCTGGCTGTCTTCTGTCTTAACTTGCTTGACAGCTTTAGTTTATCAGAATTTGCACTGAATTCCAACCTCATACTCATAAAGACCATCTCCCCAGAGAAATCCTGTCCTCTGGTAAATACATTTGAGAGAGGAGAGAGAGACTCATGTGTGTATATATATGTGTGTGTGTGTAAGCATATACCCATGTGTGTGTGCACTTGTGGAGCCCAGAGATTTATGTGAAAGATGTCTTTCTTATATTTTTGTTTGTGAACCAAGCCTTTAATGGTTGGGCCATCTCTCCAGCCCAAATGATCACTCTCTACCTTATTTTTTGAAACACGATCTCACTCTCAATCTCTTTCTTTTAAAGATTTATTTATTTATTTATTTATTTATTTATTTATTTAATGTGAGTACATTGCCGTTGTCTTCATGCACACAGAAGAGGAGAAGAGGGCATACGATCCCATTATAGATGGTTGTGGTCTACCATGTGGTTGCTGGGGATTGAACATGGGGAAGAGTAGTTGCTCTTACTGCTGAGCCATCTCTCTAGCTCTGAGACAAGATCTCTTTAATCAACCTGGACTTCACCTTTTCAGCTAGACTTGCTGACCAGCACGCTCTGAGATTTTGCCTAGCTCCACCTCCTGGCCCTAGAGTTACAGATGCTCAGGATTGAAACTGGGTTTTCACGTGGGTGCAGGGATCTAACCACACAACCTCACGCTTGTAAAACATTTTACCACTGAGCTATTTCCATAGTCCCACACCTTAACTTTTAAACCTCCCTTGTTTGGTATAGAGCTGGTGAGTACATACTTACTGAATAAAGAACTGTTTGTGGGCAGCAGAAGGCACCTTTGGTCCTGTCCCTGCTAGCGCCTGTTCTCAGCTGGTATGTGAAGGGGACAGCAGGTATGGGGGAGGGAGTGTAGGGCTCGCTGCTATCACAAACCCAGAAAATGGCTTGTGCTTTTACCTTTTCAAACCGAGCCTCTGCACTCTTCACCAAAGTTATCAGCAACTCTCCTGCTGTTTGCTGGATACAGGGATGTGGCAGACTCTTCAGGCTGTCCAATACAGTCATTATAAACTGGCCGAGCTCCTGAGAATCAAGGAAAACTTCAAAAACCTGCAACGATTTAGGAAAAATAAACTTTCAAGATGTATGGTATGGACTAGGACTATAACTCAGTGTTTGCCTAGTGTTCGCAATTCCTCTAGACTCCGCCCAACAGTTACCTAGCAACAGCTTGCATCTCTGCCTCCAAGTATAGGCCAGGAGCCAGGCATAAAAGACTTCTCTCTCTCTCTCTCTCTCTCTCTCTCTCTCTCTCTCTCTCTCTCCACCTCCTACTCTCTTCCTCTCTTCTTCACGTGTCCTCAACCACCTCATCCCCTCTTCTTCTCTCCTCTCTCTCTCTGTCCTTCATTGTTCCCCTTTCTCTGTTTCCTAGGTCCCTGCTCCACTCCGCGCCTCCCTTCCCCTAATAAACTTCCTTCTGTACTAGCCCTATAGCATGGCTGATTCCTCAGGGGGAACACCTTGGCAGGGCCCGCTGGGGTGCTCCTTCCTGCCCCACATACTATCATGTTTTATAAAACACAGCACCTAGGATGTACAAAGTTCACAGAGAAGAGAGGGACAGGGAGGGAGAGCTGTACAATCTATTACTGGCTTATTGAGTGTGACAGCTGTGATTCTCTGTAGTCAACTTGGTTACATCTGGAATTAACTAAAACCCAAGCAGCTGGGTACATCTGTATCTTAGTCAGGGTTTCTATTCCTGCACAAACATCATGACCAAGAAGCAAGTTGGGGAGGAAAGGGTTTATTCAGCTTACACTTCCACATTGCTGTTCATCACCAAAGGAAGTCAGTCAGGACTGGAACTCAAGCAGGTCAGGAAGCAGGAGCTGATGCAGAGGCCATGGAGGGATGTTACTTACTGACTTGCTTCCCCTGGCTTGCTCAGCTTGCTTTCTTATAGAACCCAAGACTACCAGCCCAGGGATGGCACCACCCAATGGGCCCTCTCACCCTTGATCACTAATGAGAAAATGCCTTACAGCTGGATCTCATGGAGGCATTTCCTCAAGGGAGGCTCCATTCTTTGTGATAACTCCAGCTTGTGTTAAGTTGACACACAAAACCAGCCAATACAACCTGTGAGGGATTTTTTTTTCTTATCTTTTTTCCCAGCATAATCCTTTTATTGATTTTGGGGATTTCACATAATGCTTTCAATCATACTGACTTCCCAGTCCTCTCAGCTCTGCCCTCCATCCTTACCACATTTTTAAGAGTTCTCTTCATTGGCTTCCTGTCTAGCTGTTACTTTTTGAGAGGTAGAGTGGGCTAGAGATAGCGGTTGTCACAGAAGCCTTCTGTGACTCCTTTTAACTGTGAATTTGCAGACATCGATACCAATGCAAAGGTACCTTTCTTGTCATTTACAGTAAGTGGGAGCATGGACCACAGATATCCATCCACATAGCCTCCAGTGTCAACATGGCCCATGGACCTCAACATGGTCTCTGACCAAAACTCAGACCATGAAAAGCAAAACAGCCCTCTACAGCAGCATGGATCACAGACACTATATGACCCTTGGTAGCAGCATAGGCTGTGGACATCAATGTGGACTCAGGGGCATAGGCCACAGACACCAATATAGTTCCCAGTGGCAGTCTGGCCAATGAATATCAGCATGGTTTAGAGGCAGTACAGACCATGGACATCCACAGGGCCTCCATTGGCAGCGCAGATCTTGGGGCTCAACCTTGTCTCCAACCATAGCTAAGACTATAGACATCAATATAGACCTCAGCTGAAGCACAGATTATAGACATCGGTGTGGCTTCAGATGGTGGCACTGACCATGGACATCCACCTGGCCTTCAGTGGTAACACAGGCCACAGAAAATAACATGGCCTCTGTCTGCAGCAGGACCACGGACCCCCAACATGGCCTTCAACAGCAGCACGGACCATTGACATCTACATGGGTTCAGGTGGCAGCACAGACTACAAACATCTGCATGACTTTTGATGGTAGTACGGACCATGGACATCAACTTGGCCCCTGGCTGCAGAAGGATCATAGACCCAACATGGCCCTCGATGGCAGCATGGCCCACAGATATCAGCATGGTCTCAGGTGGCAGTACAGACCAAGCACATCAACATGGCCTGCAGCAGCAATCTGGACCACAGACACTGTACTATTATAGACTATGGACATCTGCCTGCTCTCCTGTGGTAGCATGGGCCTCAAACATCAATATGGCCTCCATCAGCAGCCCAGACCATAGGTATCCACGTGAACTTCAGGCTACAACATGACCTGAGGTAACAGCATGGACCATGGATGCCAACATGGCCTCCAGAAGCAGCATGGACCATGGAGGTCTTTGGAAGAGGTCCAATTCAGAAAATGAACCTTTCTTCATTTTGGATGTCATGTTGTTGCTCAGAGACAGAATGATTGGCTGGACTGTATGTTCGGAGACAGAGTCTTCAAAAGCTTCAGGCTGCTGTACACCACCCTGCTGACCCTACTCAGCAACAACATGTTCCCCAACAATGACAGCCTTCTCTAAACCTGTCCTCAGTCTTGTCTCTAGCTCTGTCTCTCTCCATCCCAAACACCCCATTGCTCCAGCTCTTCTCTCTCTCCCACTTCTCCATCACAATTTGTTCAGTGCAGTGGCATTGGAAACTGCTGTGTGTCACACAGGATATTTTTTCCCCAAACAGTTATACATGAAAATATTCATTGCAATGAATATTCATCCATTCAAGTTGTTGGTCTGGTTTCTGGTTTCTGACACACCATAAATTCTGGACCATCACCAAGACTACTCTTGAGTATCCTGCTCTTGTCCAGAGTCACAGTGATCCTATGGCTAGGCTCCAGGCTGCTGCACACCTCCAAGCCCTCGATGTTTGCTACTCTGAGGCTCCATCGGCTCAACCTTTATGCTTGCATCCTGCACCACTACCTTTCAGTCTCCCTCCCAGTAGGGCAAGAAATATGGGCTACAGCCATGGTTTCATGGTGGGACCAGCTGGCAGGCATAGGACTGGCCCTATTCAGTAATGACCCCTGGCTCTGTAGGACCAGTCCCTCCACACATTTCAGCAGCTAGTAGATGGAGTAGATGTAAGGGTGGACAAAGTCATGAGCTGGATCTGGGGATTTGAGTTAGTCAGCCAAGACCTTTTGGGAAGGGATGTTTCTCTTAATTAAATCATTTGAAGTGGGAAGACCCAATTTAGCCTAGACATTTTGCAGTAGGAAGATCCACCATTAATCTGGGCCACATGTTCTGTTCCCTATTTGAAGAACATGAAAGAAGGAAGCTTTTGCTCTTTGTCTGATTGCTCTCACTCCAATAAGCTAGTCCAATTCCTTCACTGGCATTACAGTAATGGAAAGGGATGGAATGGATGGAATGGAAAGGAATGGAAAGAGATGGAATGGGATGGAACGGGATGGAACAGAAAGGAACGGAAATGGATGGAATGGAAAGGAATGGAATGGAATGGAATGGAATGGAATGGAATGGAATGGAATGGAATGGAAAGGGATGGAAAGGAATGGAAAGGAATGGAAAGGAATGGAAAGGAATGGAAACGAATAAATTGAAAGGAATGGAATTCAAATGAATGGAATGAAAAGCAAAAAAAGGAAACAAATGGAAAGTATAGAAATTAAATTGAAAAGAAAGGAATGGAAAGGAAAGGAATGGTGAGGAAAGGAAAAGAATGTAATGGAAAGAAATGAGATGGAATCAGATAGAATGGAATGGAATGGAATAAAAATGAGTGGAGTGGAGTGGAGTGGAGTGGAAGGGAGGGGAGGGGAGGGGAGTGTATAGAAGGGGAGGAGAGTCGAAGGGAGGGGAGGGGAGTTGAATGGAATGGAATGGAAAGAAAAGGAAAGGAAACAAAAGGAATGGAAAGGAATAGAAAGGAATGGAATGCAATGCAATGCAAGGGAATGGAGAGGAAAGGAAACTAAAGGAAAGGAAAGGAAGAGAAAGGAAAGGAAAGGAAAGGAATGGAAATGAGTGGATGGGATGGAGTGGAACGGAATGGAATGGAAATAAAAAGAATGGAATGGAAAGGAATGGAAAGGAAAGGAAAAAAAGGAATGGAAAGGATAGGAAATTAATGGAAAGGAAAGAAAAAATGAGAGGAAAGGAAAGGAAAAGTAAAGAAAGGAAAGGAAAGGAACAAAAGAAAAGGAATGGAAAGGAAAGGTAAGGAATGGAAAGGAAAGGTAAGGAATGGAAAGGAATAGAAATGATTGGAATGGAATGGAAAGGAAAGGAATGGAATGGAATGGAATGGAATGGAATGGAATGGAATGGAATGGAATGGAATGGAATGGAATGGAATGGAATGGAATGGAGAGGAATGGAAAGAAATGGAAAGGAATGGAAAGGAAAGCAAAAGAAGGCCGGGTGGTGGTGGCGCACGCCTTTAATCCCAGCACTTGGGAGGCAGAGGCAGGCGAATTTCTGAGTTCGAGGCCAGCCTGGTCTACAGAGTGAGCTCCAGGACAGCCCGGGCTATACAGAGAAACCCTGTCTCGAAAAACCAAAAAAAAAAAAAAAAA